AGGATAAAGGCAGAATCAGCGATGACAATGATGAGCTAAATATATACGTTAAATTTTCTAGGGTAATTATAACAGAGTAGAAATAGCATTTATTATAACTTCCACGTTCATAGAGAAAAATAGAGTGATGGGGGTCTGCCAGTCAGTGCAAGTGAAAGAAAGAAGAGGAAGAAAGAAAAGGAGGGATGGGGAAAATCAGGACCAGAGAGCTAGCAGCCCGTCCCAGGTCACACACACAGCAAGCTGGAGGCAACATGAGGGCTGAGTCTCAGATTCCCTAACTCCAATTCCGGTACTTTCCCTCCCCAAGCCAAGCATCTTTCTCTAAATGGGGATTCTGAGAGCAGTAATCTAAACCCTGGTAGGCTTCCCAACTACAGTGGGGCCTCAGGGCCCGGGAAATGCCCACAGAGGTCTATGAGATCGCCAGAGGTAAAGAGTGATAACTGTCCCTGTGTGCAGTCAACAACTGGATCTCCTGAGAACTCCTTGAGATGGGACACAGTAACACGCTCCTTCTGCAGACGTGACCCCCAGAAGGAGCGTCCCCAAGGTCACGCAGCTGGGGTGTGGCAGTGCTGCCGCCCTGCCTCAGTGCTCCTGGTTAGAGATTGGGCTGTGCTTACCAACATCTGCCTGCAGGCTCGAGGAAGTAGGCAGTGTCCTGGAATGATCCTAATTACAGCTTGGATCCAAAACAATACATAAAACAGCCATAAAGGCTGTTTTGGGCTGCTTGGGAAAATTTGAATATGTTCTCGATATTAGATGATGTTATTGTAGCACTATTTTGTGTCTTGAATGTGATCATGATATTGGGGTTATATAAGAGGCTGTCCTTAGGAGACAGATGCTCGAGTATGTCCCATAGACATGTCCTGATGTTGGCAACTTTCAAATATTTCCAGGAATGAAATACAAAAGAGGCAATAAAGCAAATCTGACAGAGAGCGAGCCCTATGTGCTTATGGCTGTATCAATAGCAAACCACCCACAAACTTAAAATGACAGCTATTTACAGTCTCTTGCCAGCCCATGATCACAGGCAGAGCCATTCCTCAGAGCTTGCTTGGGCTCCGTCACCAGCTGGTGGGTGAGTGGGTTGGCCCCAACAGGTCTTGAGTGATCCCAGCTTGTGCAGCATGACTCTCCTCCATGGGCCTCAACATCCTGGGGCGTGGCTGCCCCAGAGGTCCCCATGGCAGTGGCAGTGGTCCAAGAGAGGAAGAGGACAAGGAACCACAGTGTTTCCCAGCTGTTTCTTGTATCCGACATGCTGTTATCCCATTGGTCAAACATGTCACGTGGCCAAACCTAGAGTGTAGAGTGGGGTACTGGGAGACAAGGGCCATTAATGCCATCAACTTACCATACTGCATTACTATCTTCGTTTAAAGGTAAATATGAAATCTCTCAAAATGGAGTTAGAGTGATGCCACAATGATAAGATAGCACTACACACCCTTTGGAATGGCCAAACTGCAGGACACCAGCGAGCGCTGGCAAGGATTAGAGGGACAGGAACTTTCCCTCTGCTGGGGGGAATGCAAAATGGTACAGCCACCTCAGCAGCGCGAAGCAATTTCTCCTAAAATTAAATATGCTCTTCTCATACATCCAGCCATCACAAGCCTTGGGATTTATCCAAATGAACTGAAAATGTATGACTACACAAAAAGCCACCCATGGATGTTTATAGCAGCTTCATTCATTATTGTCAAAACTTGAAAGGAACCAAGATGTCCTTCAGGTGAATGGATACGCTGTGGTACATCCAGACAAAGGAATATTATTCAGCGTTAAAAATAAACGAGCTACTGAGTCCTGAAAAGACACAGAGGAACCTTAAATGCATATGACTTCATGAGCGAATCTCAAAAGGCTGTGTGTTCTCTGAGACTCTGAAAAGCAAAACCACTGGGACCCTGAGATGAGAGGTTGCCAGGGGTGGCCACAGGGTGGGAGGGAGGCACAGGTGGAGCCTGGAGGATTTTAGGGCAGTGAAAGTATTCAGCACAATGGGGAGCTGCCTCACTACGAATTTTATCCAAATCCACAGAAGGATCGATGCCTGGAGTGAATCTAGATGTCAACTTGGACTCTGGGTTCATCTACTCTCACAAGTGGACCACTCTGTGTGGGGCAGGGAGAGGATGGGACTCTTAGTGGCTTCTTAATATTTCTGTGAATTTAAAACTGGTCTTTAAAGAAAAGTCTTAAATAAGAAGTTAGAAGGACAAAATCATATTTTAAAAAGCCAATATAATCACGTCACTCCTCTACTTCATCACCCCCATAGAAGGACACGTACAAGAGCATTGACTGCAGCTTAACGAGTAGTCGAAGCCCCAAACCACGGCATCCACCAACCATAGTGAAGAGGTATTAAGCGATCTCTATTCCTCCTGTCGTAGAATAGTACACAGTCAGAAGAAGAGTGGTCAGCTACATGCAGCATGTGAATGAGTCTTACAGATGATGATGAGTGAAAGAAGGGAAAACTCAGACGCATCCTCACTGTATGGCCCAACAATGTGAATTCAAGGACAGAGAGGGGACACAGTGACAGACATGCGGAAACACTCTGGGGTGCTATGCATGCCCTACATCTTGATCTGAGTGGTGGTTACATGGATGTGTACATGTGAAAAAAATCATCCAACTGTGTATGTAAGATTTGTGCACTTTATAAGTCAGATCTCAGAAAATATAAACACATGTGTGCATACACGCAAACCCCTTGATTTCTTTCTTGATTCTTTCTTCTGCCCTATTTTTTCCTTCCTTTTTCATTTCTTCCTTCCTTCCTCTCTTCCTTTCTTCAAGTGTCTTTTTTTCTTTTTTTGGTACTGGGGATGGAACTCGGGTCCTTGTGCTTGCCAGGCAGGCAGCAGAACCACTGAGTTAAAACCCCAGCTCCCTCTCTTCCTTTCTTTCCTTCTGCACTGCCAATTGAAGCCAGGGCATTTGCACTGAGCTACATCCCCTTTTAAGATTTTTTTATTTTAAGACAGGGGGGGTCTCACTAAGTTGCTAAATTGCCTGGGTTGGGCTTGAACTTGTGATCGTCCTGTGTCAGCCTCCTTGCATGCTGGGATTCCGGGCATGTGCCACTGTACCTGGTGGAAAACTCGATTTCTTGGTCCTCACCGAACAAGATCTTAATCTCTTAAAACTCAGTCCAACTCAATGGGGCACATGTTTATTCTTCTCTGCCAACGTGTCAAAGACAGCAAGCAAGACATCCTGCTTAGCATCTCTTCTGCCTGGCATAAACGCTTGTGATCTGCATGGGGACCTCAAGGATGAGGACCTTAAGGGTCCCCGGGCATTGGATGGGTGACACCCTCGGTCCGGAAGCTCCTTCCAGGCCCACTTTGGGGACCATGTTCCCCTTCTTCCCCTTTCCCACCCCTCACTGTTGCATACTTTACAGCCATTGTCAAAGGTGATGATTCTTACCCTGGAGAGAAATTGGGTTCCATTTTATATTTTATTACCTCAAAAAGGCCATTTTTTTACCTTCCCACAGTCTGCAGCCAGTAGGAACAGGACAATAAATTTCAGCAAAGGTTCCCACTGAGATAGATGGTCCAGCCAGGGACCATGATGTTCTAAGCAGGGAACGAGAGAATAAACAAGCAGCCATTTCCACTCTGCCACCCTGTCCCCAGCACACGGGTGGGAGGGCTGTGGCTCTAGGACCCAGAAGCTGGCAGGCAGGTGGGTGGGTGGAAGAGGAAAGGCCTGAGCTTCCTGCCACGCCCTTTCTCCAGGTCCTCTCTCATTCAAAGGCTTCTTGTCCCTGAGACCACATAGATGCTTATCAGGCACCTGCTGTGTTTGCCTTGCGCCTTATCAATGTCATTTCCAGCAGCCCTGTGACACAGATGGGCATGGCCACCCATGTTCCAGAGGAGGGGCCCCAGGCCTATCTGTGGAGGTTCAGTGGCAGCACAGGAGGCCACTGGATGCCAGCGTGGTCTTTCCAGAATCCAATCAATGCTCCTATCCATGGCTTCCCTGCAGTTCCCAAGGATCTGGCAAAAGAGACCTTGGGGCAGATGGCAGTGGAAGTGTCAGGGCCACTGCAGGACCAGCCCTGGGCCTGAGCCACCTCGGAGTGCCCACTGGAGGCCTGACCCAGAGTTGGCCTCACAGGAAGAGCAGCCACCACTGTGGTCTCTTTCTGTCTGTCACTGTGTGACTTGTACAAGCATCAAGGTCCCCAGAGAGCTTGCTGCCTGGCACAAGCAGGACTAGAACTTGAGGGCCCTGACTCAGAGCCCAGGGTCCTGCTTCCTACCTCACATCCTGCCACACTACTGTCTCCCAAATATTTCCTGTTATTTCTGTCTAATACACTGGAAAATGTGGGTCTCACTATTGTTTATTTAATATCAAGATCACAGAGTTGTAAAATCTCTCACTCGTGAAATAAATCAGTCACACAATACCACAGATTGTGTGATTTCCATATATATGAAATTTCCAGAACAGGAAATCCACAGAGACAGGAAGTAGATTAGCGGCTGCCTGGAGCCAGGACAGGGGTTGGGAGGGATGGGGAATGACTCCTACGGAGGGGAGGGGAAAGCTCTAAAGCTGCCTGCAGTGATGGCTGCACAACTGTGGACATCCTAAAACCATCGACCCGTGCACTTTAAGTGGTATGTAAATTGTATCTCCATCACGCTATTTTTTGAAAAAATCACCAGCCTCCCTTGGCCCATTTCCCTGCCTGCAAACCAGTGATCATGAGGCTGCTCTTGCCACTGTAAGAAACAGGATTTGTTATTTGATTTTCACTAGTTTACATTTAAGGAGCCACACGTGGTGAGCAGCAAACCTGCTGGACCGTGAAGTGGAAATGAAGCGGCCAGTGAGGATTTAGAAATAAACACTGGGTAGAGCTGCGAGGAGACGGCCAGGGAGAGAGCAGAGCGGATGGTGGATTCCTTCACAGGCGTTGCTGTAACAAATTGCCTGAGGAAGCCAGCTAGATAAAGAGGTTTATTGGCTCACAATTCTGGTGACAAGGAAGGTCCAAACAGCTCGGTGACAGCATCCTGGTGAGGACCCCAGCTGGGATGCAACGCGGCGAGAAGCAGAGGAGGAACGGAGGGGTCGAGCACGCGAGGTGGCCTTGCTTCCTCACCACCTGCACCCTGGAGGACTCCACAAGACCAGCGCTGATCTCGTCCAAGGACGATGTTCCCATTGTTACAGCCCCTCCACCAGAACCCACCCCTTAAAGTTCAGCACCTGGACACTGAGACACTGGGACAAACAGTCTGGCACCTGCTCCTTTGGGGACAAACACACCCTAACCATAGCAGATGCAGAGGGTTGACATGGGTGCTGGGAAACTGAACAGAGAAGGAAGGAGTGAGCCATGTAGCTACCTGAAGGAAGAGCATTAGGGCAGAGGGTGCAGCAGGATGAAGGCCCCGAGGCAGGACGTGTTTGTGGGATTTAAGGAATAGCTGAGACGCCAGGGAGGCTGAAGAGAGGGAGAGGTGGCTCTGCCCAGGCTAGAAACAGCCACCTGGTAAAAAGTTGTGGAGGTCTGTTATCCCTTGAAGGCAAGGCTGACAGGATTTCCTGGTGGAGGACCGTAGGCAGCAGAGCTGGCCAGGCAACAAGCCCCAGGCTTTAGGGCTGAGCACCTTGGAAGTGGGGGCGCCATCCGCTGACACCACAGAGGCTGGGGTGACACAAAGGAGCCGAGTTTGGATCTGTTCTGCTTGGGGAGCTGACTGGGGACCCTCAACAAGAAGCGCAGGACACTGGGGAGCCCAGGGGCTGGGCAGTGGAGGCAAAATGTGGGGACACCAATCCATCTGTCCCTATCAGGAGGAGGGGCATGGCTGTGCTCAGAGGGATGGGCCAGAGGACAGCCACATGAGGCTCAGCAGTGGGCTCGGAGAAGCTGCTGAGTGGTTCCCCGGATGTGGCACTGGGGACAGAGGCCACCACTGCGCACACAAACATGGACAAAGCCCTCTGAGCAGGTGGCGCAGTGGCTGGTGGCACCGACATCTTGGCTGTCAGGAGGGAACTTCATGACTCTCCCAGTGTGCCCGAGAGGCTGCCTGCTGCATCCTGTGCTGGCCCGGAGAAGGCGCTGGAGGGAGCGGAACTAGAAGAGGCAGGAAAATGGGGAGGGGCCAGGGAAGGCAGCCGCAGCCCCTGCTTCATCATCCACTGGCCCTCCTCTCCCTCAGCCCTGGCCGAGGACACCCCAGGGACATCACACACCCAGGCACAAAAGCAAAATTCATGCCAGCAGGAGGGGAGCGAGCTTAGAGAACAAACACACTAAAGTAGTGAGTGGCATGGTGCCTTGGAACTCCGCGCTGGCTCTTTGGGGAAGAGGAGAAAGGCAGAGGAGGTAAAGAGGTAGGTAGAAGGAGGTGTGCGGTGTCAACTTCAGGACTGAAGAGGGACAGGCTGGTGGAGGAGGTGGCATTTGGACAAGACTGGGAGGAGGCGGGCTGAGTCTTGGGCCAGGGAACACTGCCCCCTCCCTCTGCTCGCCTCCCCCCCCTTCCCTACAAATCCCCCTGCCACTTTCTCCTCCATCTTTTCTCTGTCCCCATTCCCTCCCCTGCCTCCCCATCCTTCCCTTCCTGTTGTCTTCCTCCTATATCCTCTACCTCTTTCTTGTCCCTGTCCTTGGTGGGAGACAGAGAGGTGAGAACAAAAAGCCAAGAACAGCAAGGAGGAAGGAGCTCCCACCCAGGGAAGGGCTCTGGTGCAGCCTGGGGGAAGGGACTGGAGCCACCCAGAGTCCTGGGGTGGGACCGGTACCCCAGGAGGATCACAGGCCTGTGACTCTTTTATGAGAAGTAAGAAATATGATTAGCAGATTAGAGGAAACACGTGGCTTATTTCCCCTTTCTACCACGGCCAATTAGATAAAGGGAAATTAAGTCACAAAGCCTGGGCTGTGTCTGGTCAGCGGGCCAATAGCAGGTGTTTGCCCAGCCCTGCACAGAAAGAGTGGATCCCGGGCCCTCCTGGCTCAGACACTTCGTGGGGACCTCTGGGCTACTAAGTCCCAGGCATCCTCCTGTCCACCCCCCAGCCCACCCCTCCCATCAGGACAGGTGACCACCACGGTGAAGGGTGAGGTGAGCAAAACATACTTACCCAAGCCACCCTGTCCACCAGGACTGTGCTGAGTGGTTGGAAGTTCCAGAGGGTTCCAGAAGGTTCCAGAAGGGACCAGAAGGGAGGTGCATCCCCTTCCCCCATCATAGACCTTGGACCTAGACAGGACGTGTCACCTTCAGAGCCAGCAGGAGTGACATCCGACACACAGAACAAGCGGGCACACCATTGTTAGAGATGGCAGGGGAGAGAGGGGACAGGTGCCTACTGCATCCAGGGGGCAGGGGTTGGAGGCTGGGTCCAACCCACCGTGCTCTGCCCTGAATGCTCCGTGCAGCATGTAGGGAGGAGGAGGATCACTGAGGCTGGCTGCATGAGCGTCCTAGTGGCCGAGGAGAGAGGTGGGTCCTGCGGTGCGCAGAGTGAGCACCGTAGGCTCCTCTCTGGCCAGAGCCAGACACCCCCTCAGCGTGTGACTCTGCCAATTCCATCTTCTGGTGACCTTACTCCAGGAAGATGGATGGGCAGGAGTCAGGGTCATCAGATGTGCTGTTTCCTCACTGTAATCAATCACTCAATCAACTTAATTTACATAGCATAGCACTCAAGCAAGCATCAGATCCCCCATGATCTAGTGACTCAAAGCCACCAGCATTTGTATCTCACACACAAAGTCCAGAGGTAGCCATCAGCGGGCTGGGAAGGTCTTCCTATCAAGTCGTCAGGACCCAGGCTCCTTCTTTGTTTCCGCTCCTCCATCCTAGAGGCCACGTCTTAGTTTGAGATGGCTGCTGGTGTTCCATCTATCACAACTACAATCTAGGTGGCAGGAAGGAGGGAGTGAGAGGGGAGAGACAAAAAGGAACAGCCCCTTACTATTGAAAAGATTTTCTAGATATCCAATATCTCACCTCTACTGACCTTTCAGCAGCCAAAACTTAGCCACATGTAAGTTCCCCCGAGAGCCTTGGTTGAACTAAGGACAGTTCCAGAGATCTTGTGTGTGATAGCAGATCTTATGATGTGATCTTGGACATGTGATAGCAGGTCCTGGTCCTGGAGCCATCAGCCTTGCCCCAGTCGCTAGCTCTGAGTGAAAGGGTCAGGCTGTGAGTCGTGCTCTTAGTTACTACACCACACTACATCCTCAAGTTCCGGTTCCAGCCATGGGACCCTGGCAAAGTCCTCTTAGCCTCATCTCCTATATCCATAAAGTGGGAGAAATAACAGCAGCCACTTCGAGAGGCTGGATGTGGAGCAAGACAGATTCATGGAAATAGATCAAGATCATGTGTGAAGCAGATCGAGGAATCAAGGATCTGATTCTGTTTAGCATGAGTTAAACTCACAAGAGAGGTGCTGGGCCCCACTGCCACCCTCGATGTATTCACAGACCCTCACTGATGGAAGAGTCCACTCTGCAGTAAGTGAGGGGTCTCTGAGGTCCCTGGAAAAGTCCACTCTACAGCACAGTGAGGGGATACTTTCCAAAGTCCTCACCTCCAAGATGCCCATGGGCCACCTGGTGCTTCTCCTCAACAAGATACTCAGTGCAGGTCTGGCTGGGCTCTGTCCTCATCTCCTGTCTCTGTCCCATTGCCCCCAACCCCATCACTGTCAGCTGGTCCAGAGAGGAGCAGACTGCAGAAGGAGGTTGTCCATTGCCTTGGAAACCAGGGCTAGAACCCAGCACCCTGCAGCTCCTGGGATGGAGGATGTGCTGCCTCTGAGTCCTAAGTCCCCAGATGTCCTCCCAGCATGTGCACATGCATGTGTGTGCACACACATGTATGCACACATACACACATATGCACGCACTCCCAGCAGCCAGCCAGCTGACTTACTGGGTGTCTCCAGCTAGTGGAAGACTAATTCTCTGGCCAGAGAAACTTGTCCTACAGTCCAGGACAGCAAAAGAAAGGGTTGACCCAAAGGGGCTAGGAGAGGTCACTGAGGACAGTCCTTGGCTGTCACACTCATGAAGCCTCCCACTCGGGCCAGTGCATGGCCAGGCATAGAAGCCACACCCCAGCAAGAGCTCGGGTCCTCCCGGAGACAAATAAGTTTTGCAACTTTCAGAGCAATAAAGTGACCCAGGCAAGGTCTTCAGTGGAACCAGTGAAGATGACTTATTTGTTACAGAAAAGAAAAACAGATAAATTTCCAAGGGACAAATCTAGCACACATTGCCTTAGCCACCTGATCAAATGTAAGGTCACCAAAAGTGAGACAAACTGACATTATGTACCTCCTTAGGTAATGCAATAATGAAGACACGGCACCCCCTATGTGGCATTCTCAGCAGAAATTTGAACTACACAATCAGATGTATTCAAGTTGTGGGGCATTTTACAAGACATCTGATATGGACTCTTCAAAAGTGTCCATAACAAGAAAGACCAAAAGATGAGATTAAAGGAGACTAAAGGACTGTGACAATTAAATGCAATGCACGAGCGATAAGTGGATCTCGAATGGGATAAAACAGCTATAATAGACATTTCTAAAACAATTGGGGAAATCTGGGTATGAACAGTACAACTGATAGCATTATGAGATCCGTGTTAAAGTCCTTGGGTCTGATAATTACTTCTTTATGCTTATGTGGGGACGGTCCTTCTTCATAGGAATACATGCTGATTATTTGGGAGCCCAGAGTCTGGTGTTTGCAGCCTACTTTCAAATGATCAGAAGAAAGAAGAGAAAGGGAGAATGTAAAAGGGGGCCAGTGCTAACACTGGGTAAATCCGTGTGAAGGACAGACAGACATTTGAGGGGCTGCACTTTCAACTTTTCTATAGGTTTGAAATGTTCAAAATCTCAAACATTTAGAAGAAAAGATTCTTCAAAGAGAAGTCAAATGATTCCTGATCTTTCCTAATGTTTCTGGGCATTTCTGCAGTAAGGGATGGGGGGGCCTCTTCCATTCTATCTGGTCACCTGGTCTTTGCCCGCATGAGGCAGATTGTGGTTTACCAGGCCAAGTCCCCCCACCTGGGCTCCATCAGGAGAGGGAGCCCTCCCATGGCACCTGATGGTGGGTAGCAAGTGTAGTCCAGGTTTGGGGGTTCAGGTGTTGTTAGTCAGTCTAAGGCTCTTTGGCTTGATTCAGATGGAAATTGTGAATTGGCAGAGTACAGCTCTGCTGACAACCTGACATCACCAAATGACACTAGGTAATGCTGGCTGCTACCCGGTAACGCTGGATGCCATTAGGTAAAGCTGAATGCCAACTGCCACTGTTGTGCGGGACACTGTAGGTCAGCTCCACCCCGTGCTGGACACCATAAGTTGATTGTACCAGGTGCTAGTCTCTGGAGCTCTTCATTGCTTACAGCTGTGAATGTGTATTGATCTTTCTTTTGAAGATCACTCTGCCTACATTATGCATGCTAGAAATCCAAGTAGATTTGCAGGGCTTTTGGAGCCCACACTACCTGAGATGCAAACCATGATCAGATTTACAGGAACATCAACGTGAGTCTTTATTTTAACAGGGCCCGTGCTGCGGCACCGTGGGGTCAGTACACAGGAGGGAGCCCTGCTAGACTGAACCCTGGAAGTGGCTGGGGAGCGTGGCTTACAGAGCAGCTGCAGGCCTTTGTCAGTGAGTGGCAGGAATGAATGCTTGCTATGAGTGTGGGTGTGCAGATAGGGACCCAGTCCCTCCCTTCCTGGTCTTAGCCACCTCAGGGTGCCTTTCCCTTCCTCAAAAAGCCAACAGTATTGCCTGCAGTGGCAGGTGTCAGAGAAGGGCATGCTGGCCACCAGCCAAGCCACAACCCCCTCAGCTGGCACAGGGAGAAATGAGTCAAGAGCTTCTGTCTCACAGGAGGCTGATTCAGAGAAAACTTAGTATTTGGCATCCTCTTCTGGAAACCTCCCTTAGTTTCATGACACACGCACTTGTAGCCCACTTCATGTAGCACAGCTGCTTCTCCTCTCCTCCTCTCCTCCTCTCCTCCTCTCTCCTTCTCCCTCTCCTCCTCTTTTCTTGCTCATCTCGGCTGCCCTACAATGGCATTTTCCCTTTGAAGTCAGCAGCCACCGTGGGCTAAACAACCATGGCACCTCTTCAAGGTTGACGCCCAGATTGCTCCTGGTAAAGCCGCCTTCCGTCTGCCACTCTCGAACCTGACTCTATGAAGCCCTAACATCCTCACTCCACGATCAGTGACAGTAACAGCTACCACTCTCGGAGCATTAACCACGTGCCCAGCACTGACTGAGCCAGGGACTTTGAATGCACCATGCCAAACACTGGGACCAGCCCCCAGAGGGGGACTCTGGAATTTGAGACTGAAGATGGCTAAGGAACTCGCCCAGGGTCCCCAGCAAGGAAATGGAGAGGCAGCCTCGGCCGGGACTTGTCAGATGCTTTCCAACTTGGCCAACAAATGTTCTGTACTCAGAGGCTTCAGGACTTCCCAAGGTCACACAGCTGCCCAGAGGGACAGTGGGGCTGCACCGCAGGATGCTCTGTCCCAGGCCTCCCCTCCATCCTCCTGGTCCATGTGGGAACTTTCCCTCCTGCAGAGGGAGGAGGGCCATGAAAGGTCAAAGGGAAGAGAGGCTGAGCAGCCTCAAGTTTGGAGGAGTCAGGAGCAGGTGCTGGCAGGGAAACTGCAAGTGTCCTTGGGCCCAGGCCTGAGCGGAGCAAGCAAATGACGTGGAAACGACTAAAGAAACTGTGAAGGTTGGAAGGGGGCAGAAGTTGGAGAAAATTCTCGACCACACCTCAGTTCAGCGGCCCCCAGTCCAGAAAACGGATACTGGGTATCAGGAAAATGCAGGGTGCTCCCCCAATGTAGGATCGCCACCCCCAATCATGACCTGACTCTGCAGCCTGGCCCCAGAGGTTTAGCTTCCTCCATGCCCTCCTGGCCCCAAGCAAGCTGGGCGAGTCTGGGGAAATAAACTGGGAAAGAGATGAGAAATTTAATCAAAAGTTGCAACAATGAAGTGCACACTGGAAACCGGGAGGCGATTGAATTGCTGGGGAGTAGAGAAGGGCAGCAAAGGATCAGAGGCCTGGGAGAGAGGAGGAGAGGAGAAAAGGCCAGAGGGGCAAGGGAGGAAAGGAAAGGCGGGGGACAGACAGGTCACCAAAGGGGAGGACAGAAGAGCCCCAGCAACAGGGAGATACTGGATCTGGACTGCGTCTGATTTCTTCTGAAATGTGAATGAAGATCCCTTCTGGCTGGGGTCATCTGAGTCAGGTGGGAAGAGGGACTGGGAACCAGGGGGAGAGAGAGAGAGACAGAAAGGCAAGAACCAATGCTTTTGGTTCTTTGGGATTTGTATTCTCAAGGGTCCGCTAATGTAATACGGCATCCTCCAGAGGAAACTCCCTAAGAAAAGCTCAGAGAAGATGGCTTATCTACCCACAGTCACACGAAGAGCCATGAGTTCACCTTCCCAAAAAATCTGGACTGACATGGGTCCATTTGGAACGTAACTGAATGGGATTCCTTCAGTGGCACCAAACGAGGTCAATGAAGAGAGTGACAAGGACCTTCTGAGGCCACATGCTGAGTCCTGCTGCCAGGCCTGAGCAAGAGCCCAAGAGGCAGACGGAGCCAGGGATGGGGTGGCAGGATGGAGACTGAGGAGGGCGGGTCTCTCTCATCCGACGCGGGAACTAGACTTTGAGTAACAACCCCCTTCCCAGAGGGAGAAAACATGACATGGATGGGTCAGGAAGAGGGACCCAGAACGGCCACACCCTTCTCCACGGGCTCCCAAACCATCACTGTGCCTTCTTTCGGTCACAACAGACTTGACTTTGATGCCCGATTCTGCTGCTTCCTGTGTTTTGCGCTGTCACTTAAGCTCTCTGATCCTCAGTTTCCCCTTGCATAAGACGACTGTGGCAGTGTTATTCTCATAATTCTCCTCTGAGCACCCCTGAGGAAATGGGGGCTCATCTCCTCTGCCAATCCACTTCTGTATTTCACCATTCAGATACATGTTAGATGTGCTAGAGGGAATCCCCATACATAAAGCCCAGGGTGATTACTTTTACAGACAAAACAAGCTTCCCTGATGTACCTGCTTTGTAGATCTGAGTGCTTGGAGGTGGGCGGAAGTCTGTGCCACTACACGGTCACCCCTGGCTTTCCTGTCTGCCTGCTTGGGCTGCACTGTTAATCTTTGGCTCCCATACTTCCTTCCCTACCCACTTGAATTCTGTGCTCATTTCCAAATCCGTAGAAGTGGGTGCAGGGGGTGAGCAGCCCTGAAGCTACCTGTTGACCTCTTTGGTTTGGGGGTGGAGTGGAGAACAGCAGGACTCAGCCCCATGTGAATCC